AAACTGTCTTTTTGGTAGTACAAAACGTCAGGTTAATTTCAATATTTTAACTTTTTCAGTGCTTGTGAAAAAAATTGTTATACAAATTTTATGTACCCCCTTTAAGGGGCTGTATCTTAACAAGGGATGCTCCAATTAAGTTTCTTTATATGAAAGATCCTATCTTTTTTCGATGAGGAATCACCTCCTAAAATGTTTTACACTTATTTAGTTACACCCTGTATACCTCAATAAAAACACACTTTATTATAAATTCCATTCTCAAAAGTTGTTACTGGTTTCTTTCTGCATTTTAAATTTTTTTCTCTCAGCCCTGCACTTTATATTGAATAAATAACGAGTGAAACCTATACAATCTTGTGAATTTAATTTCTGAAATTTTATGGGAGAAACGAACTATCAATTAAATTGTATAGCCTCGTAACATTACCCCTGGAAATTTCGAGGAAAGATAAGCGCCACCCTGGAGCGCTGCCAGTCTCATGAAGGAGTTAATTTAACAATTGCCTTGATACAATTAGCGTTTGAAAACATCAGAACAAGCCGCATTAATTGAAATAACGTCATTAGAGCAAAGCTCTGGGTAGAGGAGAGAACAAGTGCGAAAGACTGATGAAACCCGCGAACATTTTCAATTAAAATGTTATCACACGAAGTACGTATGGAAGCTCGCTATGGAAACTTCTAGCGGTTGACATTTGGTCGTAATGGTGAACGGGTCGTGGCGGTGACGGTCGGATGGGGGAGTGAAGGGTGCAGTGTTGAAACCGCGGATCGCTGGTTTTCCTTTGATAGTTTCTAGGAATTTCGGCGATGACACATGATAATGTGTTTACATAACGAGCCACTGTTCAATTCAATACATTGCAACATTTCATTTTTCCACTTTTTATTTTATACTATATGCAAGGCAATCTCAGATCTGGGATTTTTCTGAGCAGTCAAATAAACCATAATCAGAATGCTGACAACTATTCAAAGTCCTTATTGTTTATTTTGAATATTTTTATTTATTTAATGGTTATGTAATAATATGATCCTTTTCTCAGGACAAGAGAAAATGAAAGAAACTGAAGGTTTCAAAGTTTCGAGTATAGGAGCTTTCTAGCTCGTTTCTCCTTCATTTATTTTCTGAAATGAATTTTAGCAGCGCTGTCACCAGATGCAGATTTCTCCACATCAAATTTTGAATATCAAGGCAGGTCCGAAAAAGCTGTAGAGTTCGTGCCGATCGCACGAAGGCCGGTCTTTTTTAAATCTGATCATTTGGTATACTTACTTATATTCTCTCTCATTGTGTGGTTCCAGAACTGAATTTTAATCTTAATTGAAATGCTTTTCACTCACTATTCTCTT